GTAAATACAAAGGCTATTAAGAGTCAACGCTGTTAGCAGTGCGTAAAAATTTAATCTTAAAATCTATAACATAGATATTATGTCGAACGTTTCGATCCTACGTTTCGGATCATCATCAGCGACAATACAATATAAAATTAAACATTACTCAGAGTTGCAAACAATGATGTTGTTCCGCAGTATGTAATATACAACCAATCTGAGGCAAGACTATCACTTCTTCAGGTGAAAGTATGTACATTAGTTCGAATAATTGAGTATGTCTGTGAATTATATAATCAAGAATTATAAATTACCTTAAAAATTTTTTTAAATTATAAAATTTGATAAAACAGTAAAAATTAAATACTCAATAAGCTTACCTCAAGTTGGTCGACAAAAGACATAAAATCAATTATATCACAGAAATCGCATTGATCAAATTTCATCGTCAATATGTCTGTATATGACGATGTACAACGATATAATGAAGACCGTTATTACAAATCAACAGACCACAAACAAGTTAGGTCAAATTAATGTTTATTAGTTTGTCTAAAATATTAGCGTATGAGCGATCAAGACCATCGGTATCTGTTTTTAAATTAAGACCATTACTTTGTGTCTTGATGTAAAGCATTTCTGATAGAAATGTTTAGTCATAAAAAGGAATTACATGTAATTATTCACATACATAAATTAAGTAACAAAATCACTCAGAGATATCTGTTTAATCATTTTCAATTGATGATTTGATGTTCTGGCAATATGACAATGCTTTTCTCCGGTTTCTTTAAAAATATAGGATAAGGGGTGTAGAAATATATTATTATAAATAATACTTTTATACTATTTATTTTATATTTATTGTACATTATTGTCTTATAGAATTTGTAAACGTGTGAAGAATATTAATGCAATAAGCAATTAATTATAACATGCAATATCCAGTGCGACGTAGAAAAGGACATACGTATTTGTTAATAAATAAAATTTGAATAATATTTGTAATACTGCGAACTATACACAGAATATGTAGATTGAAGTATCAATCGTGAAAAGAAAAATTAAATAAATTTCAAAAACCCTTCAACTAAACTATCCGCGTCGACAAGTAAAATGTACATCGATCATTAACGATAAAGTTATTGTCGGCATTTATTTACAAGCATTATTTACAAGAAACTCCATTTGTAACAATGTACTAAACAATACACACGCAGAATAATTATTTTATGTTAAAATGCATGGCCATGCTCTTGCTGCTATTATTAATTATAACAATAAATTCATACCACCAGCCTCAGAAATCGCATTAGTACATGTTTGGCTGTTCTTGTCAAATATAGTTGGCACCGCTATACTCTTTAATTTTTTTGAACCATCGACACGTACCTTCTCCCACATGTCAGAAGCGAAGTGACTTTATAATTTATAAAATACAGTTCCCACAGAAGAAAGAAAAAATTGCTATGCAGTAAATACAAGTAAAATTTGATAAGAAAAGAGATTTTTACAACTACACCCTGCAGATGATTGAATTCTAATATGGTAATTTACCTCGCATAGACAAGAATTCTTCGTCGGCAACCAGTTCTTTTTATTCAAATTCTCGATCCATAACTTTCTTCATGGTTCATGCTTCGGAAAAAAACACATTTTTATTCCTGCTGCTGATCTTCTGCCGCAAGCAATGCATCGACCCATGTTGCGGCATGCCACAGATTACTGTCACTCAGGTTATGTAAACAAAATGTTTTATTACATTAAAATACTTTAAATTACTTAGATTTAATGTTTAAAATGCTCAGATACGTGAGAAATGACACAAATTTTGAATGCAAAAAACAGAATAAAATAATAGTTTACATCAGTATAAAGATAATTTAGAAATATACCTATATGAATAAAATACGCTCCTTTGCGAAGGCACTTTTGTTCGTGAATTTCCAAATAATAATTCCCAAATAATAATTGTGAAGTCTGCACTCTGCTAAACTGTTTCAATTTCAATCTGAAAAACCGGGTAAACAATTGTGTTTACACAATACACAAGTACAGTTCACGTATAGGTTAACACACTAACACAAGCGTAGTGTCCCAAAACATGGCGGCGAAATTACTTAGTAACATCTGGCCAATCACGAGTAACCAATCTCTCGTCTCATCTCTTACTAGAGGGTCTCTATTTGGAACCGTTTCGTTCTCTCTCGTTTCGCGCATGCGTATAGCCGTATACTCTGAGAGAGGGGATTGAAAGAAAGAATAAGGAATTGAAAGAGCAACCCTTGGCACTGGGAAACCCTTAACCTTATCGAAGTCAATTCTTTGTTTGATTCCAAAGAGATCAGGCTTGTCCGGTCATTCTTGGAAAGCCAAAAGTTTCTTTTCGCGAGACTTAACTAAACCATGTGAATTTGACTATCTTCATAAGAAACAATCTGGTGGTGCTGACCAATATGCTCGCATAACTGGAATTATAGAGGTATAAGTAATAGATTTTTATCATTAATATTTATTGATTATTCATCGAGAGCCCTTAACCTTATCAAACTCAATTCTTTGTTTGATTCCAAAGTGATCAGGCTCAATCAGGCTTGTCCGGTCATGTAATGATGAAACTTTTCTCGTTCGACTCGGTCTTTTCTTTCGATCCCCTCTCTCAGAGTATGGTATATGCTATACGCATGCGCGAAACGAGAGAGAACGAAAAGGCCCAAATTAGAGTCCCTATAAGAGAGTTGTGTCAATCTGAAGTAAAATGGCGTCTAATTGGGACTCTGGCAGAAAGGGACGCTAGACCTTATACTACGTATTTACGAAGAGCGTAAAATCATGGTGGCAGGCAAGACGAAAGCTTGCTAATACGAACGGCAACGAGACCTCGGTTTAAGTCCCGGCACCGGTGGAGTCCAGATATTTTTCTCGACCCACTCTTACAATATCAAAATTATAAGTAAGTCTATACATTATTATAAAGCTTTCGAATTAAAAATATATAAAAGATACAGATATTATGTGGTCGAAAGTGACATTCTAACCTTGTCTACTTGTCAATATTATATAATTTAACGTAAATTCTACTCTTACAACTTCTAAAATCTAAACCACCGCGTTCACATTACTCAAAAGTGGGGATATAACAGCATCGATGATTGGTTCCGCCATTTTACTTCAAAGCCAATGAAAATTTATACAAGATTGACACAACTCTCTTATAGGGACTCTAGCCCAAATGAGTGCGTCCTTTTCTAGATAGGATTACCCCCACTCCTTTAATGCGTACTCTAGTACTACACTATTATCTCTATGATTGTGACTCAGCCAGCGGCGCACTTGCCAGGCAATCCCCGCCAGTCCCCTCCCTCCGCGGTCCGCGCGCCGTCGAGCTATCATGGGCCACGCACCGGCAGAAATGCTGTCGTTCGGCGTGCGGCGCTACACATTCTTACCGAAATACACATGTACGTGTTACTGGGAACGCGGAAAAGGCGTAGAACGCGAAGGGAGAAAGTAGTAGGGGGCGCTCCGATATTCTATCCTTAGCGCAAGGCGCACGATCGAGAGAGGAAGCATAATAGGACGTGATACCTGTTCGTGGTGTACTTTCGCTGTCTCACACATTTGTTATTAGTACGAGTGAGATACTCCGGTGTCTCTCGCTCGTCAATATTCATAATAATACTTTTATTAGACACAAAATGTTGTAATTATCCATAAAAATTTTTAATATTGTAAAGAATTGTTGTGCATAATTAGAACATTACGTATAATTTTGAGATTCATTGTAATAGCTTTCCATGCATTTGTAAATTTGCAGTTTACAAATGAAATTAATATTTTGTATCGCAAATTGTAAAAATAAGTTTACAATTAAATGTAAGAACATATAATAGAATAAATGAATAGAATATGATGTAATGTCATGCGAAATAACGTTCAGAAATAGTTTTCTTTTCATAATTATACATATTTTTATAAATTCAAAAAGTCATATAATACACAGAGAAAAAGGTTTCTTTGGACTTAATATTCCTAAATATCAAAACATAACAGGACTACGAGCCATAAATTAATATTAGATTAATGAAAGTAAAACAATTTAATTTACAGGATTCCCACAGAAAATGAATTTTGAAATTCCCTGACTTTTCCAGGTTTTCCAGATGAGAATGAAGAATTTTCCCTGATCAATATAAAATATTGATTGTCGCACCTGATAATTTAGATTGATTGAAGTTTTTAAAGAAAGAGTGGAACATTATGTGGATAGAAATAATTTAATTACGGCAAGGTTAAATAAGCGAGGTGTTGGGTAATTGAGATTCAGATAATCAAGGTTCTATGTATGTAAATTTTAAAGTTTAAAAATAGGAGTAGTAGGAAAATGAGCTTATATTACTAGATACAACGAAAATTTCGAAGACAAAATATAATAAAATCTTATATAAATTCAGGCCAAAAAGAAATAAATTATTATTGAAAAAAAGAATACAATTATATCGAAAAAAATGAATAAAATATAAATTTTAATAATTTTATTATAAATTTCAATTATTTTTTTTTACAGTTAAAAATGTAAATAATACGTTTTATAAAATATATATTTAACTGTAACAATGTCAATTAAGTTTCGTTAAACTATATAGAACAAAAAATATTTTGAGAAATTTCTAATTTATATATTTAAAAAAAAGAACAATTACTCTTTTGTTAACAAAATGACTGATACATGGGCCAGTGTATTCATAATAGTACTTATGGCGACTCTTATCAGTCGCACTAACGAAAACCGAGCAGCTACCTTTCGTCAAGCGCTCAGTGGGAACATCCAAGTACCTGTAGCACTCGACCATACAAGCGCCCGTAGCACGCGACCGCGCGCAAGTACTGCGTGACGCGCAACTACCACGGTACGCCCACCAAAGGGCTAGCGCCGATAATGTTATCGCGTGCGAAGAATCGGTCCAAGGCCCTTATAGATAAGGCACCGAACCGATCAACCGGCACCGAGCTGCGGCATGCAGGGCTATACCTCTCGGCAGTTTTTACCTCAGCTACGGTCTCTTGACAAAGCGCAGTCATTGCAGCTACAGCCGCCACCGCAGCCTCACCAGCAGCAGCCACCGCAGCCTCCGCCGCATCAGCCACCGCGGCCTCCGCCGCGGCAGACGTCGCAGCCTCCGCAGCAGCAGCCGCCGCCGCCGCAGCAGCCTCCACAGCAGAGGCCCTCGCAGCCTCCGCAGCAGCCGCCGCAGCCACCAGCCCGCCAGAGAGGGACCTCGCTCATTCAGCGTCTACGCCAGCAGCTCCTGCGCCGCCGACAACTACAAGTGACGGCCCCCAGGATCCGGCCGGTAGAGGCCGCAGGACTGTTCCGGCGCCAGCCAAGGCGGCAACATCCAAGGGGGCATACACCGCAGCCTCCGCCAGGGTCGCCGACACTGCCGACGCCTCCCCCGACACCGCCGGCCGCTCCGCAAAGACCGCCATCGACCGCCGCGCGAAAGGTGACCCTCCAGCTAGCCACCTGGAAGCTAGAGCGGCTAGACATCCCGCCGCCTGCTAGGACCAGGCCACCGAGGTATTGCCTACACCCGTGGGACCTGCGGGTACGCCGGTACACCTCGCCGAGGTATCAACGGGCGTCTCCACCGGCGAGGCCTCAGGAGCTGTCCTCTGGTTCAGAGTGGGAGACCCCCAGCCAGAAAGCGACGAGCCGCCAATCCGAAGACATCAACGGCAACTACTGGGGCCCAGAAAAGAAGACTCTGACGCAGCCCTCGCTCATCTACCGAGAGCGAGTCACCGCGAAGTGTCGGACCACCCGGTGGACAAGCACGCAGCCGCCGCTCACATACAAGGAGCGCAGTCCCTCTAAGTGAGGGGGAAAACCAAACGGCCCTTTTCAGGGCCACCACAAAATACCTAAGTCCAACTAAGTGTATATAACTGTACATAGCGGTAATAAACCTTGTACATAAATACAGAGTCACGACTTCAACCTCTCTCGCGATCTTGCGATCCCTGACGCCTCACCGACAGAGGCCGACAGCGACGGCCGGCCGGTGACTCCTCGTACACCTACCAGTAGCGGGTAGACGTAACCAATACCAAGATAAATTCTACTAAATTAAATAGTAAAACCCATGTAGTACTATCTTTATCCTCATATAATGACATATATCATTTGTATAAAAGACCTGATATCAATAGTCGGCGCCAAGTTATTCTATATCAGAATTCTCTCTCTCTTTTCTTCTTCAGTAATACCCAACAGTTCCCAACTTTACGTCTGATTTGACTAATACTAACTCGAACATGTACTTGAATACCTCATTATGTATGCCAAGGTTAATTTTTTATAAAAACCTACGTGATGTTATCCTTATCATATTTGCTGTTTAGTAGAATTTAAAAACCTACGTCGTGTTACCCTTATAATCGGCTGTGAATCTGACCAGTCATATTTGCTGTTTAGTAGAATTTAAAAACCCACGTGGTGTTATCCTTATGCTGTTTAGTAGATCAAGGTATAACCTAGATTCTACAATCGTATATGAAC